GACCATATCTCTGCAATGAGTTGAGAGAGTATCAATAGAATGACAACCATTTACTAAGATGGTTTACATAAATGGTGCTGTACAGGCACTTGAGACCGCCAGTCAGCACAACACTGAGTGTTACAGGATATATAGGCATTATACTTGGGGAAAACATATTATAATGCAACGGAGAAGATTAATGGTTATACCTGAACATTGTCGTAAAGTTCAAACAATGGCACAGCAAGAAGCTTCAGATTTTTTGGGACTGCAAAGTACTCTCTTTCAGATAGATGAACAACAAAGAGCTTCTTACACTCCTGCACGGCCCACAAAAAGTCCAAAAAAAAAAAAAAGGTCATTCACCAAAAGAGGAACCAAGGCCCTGCTTCAACACCCCATACACAGGGATTTTCCCTTCTATCATGCTTGGTTGCATATTCGAATATAATTAGGTCTCGAATTCCTTGTATTCCAAAAAGTGGATATCTGCTTTCTCCTCTAAATCAATCCCCCCCCAAAAAAAATGGAAGAAAATAAAGCAAGAGAAGAGATCATGCTTCTTAGGAAAACTCTAATACTACTGTACCTTGGGTTTTGTTATGTGTGGAGGGCAATATGGATACATTATAGTCTCAAAGTTTGGCCTCCACCAGATGGCCACACACTCACCAATCTGCATTGACAAAAGTGAGATCACCACAAAAACATTAACTAATATTTTTAAGAGAGGAGAAATAGATAAAACACTTGAATGACGACCATTGGTTAGATAGATGGAACCTTATAGGAAGCTATGAAAGTTTGTCATGAGTTTAGTCAAATAGAAGCTCGTTTGCTTCAGGTAATAAAATGTTTTTTGAAAATAAACTAGAACTCTCAAGATCACCAATTATAAACGGCAGTACACAAACGATTCTCCAAAAAGAAAAAGAAAACATATAACCAGAGCCACGACAATCCAACATCGTCTCTCCTTAGATTTGTTAAGTCGTATAAAGCATAATTCTCTCAATACGAAAAACTTAGCCACTTACAGAGAGGTCAATCTTTTCAGACAAAACAGGTAAACCACCAAAGAGACCAACAAAATATTTTGTTATATCACTTGCACAGCTGCTAATGTAGGCAGAAACTATAATAGACCAGCTTTCTGGTGTAAACTTCAAAATTAACAGTTCAACAAGCTTTCACATTTATACCATCAAAAGATGCCCGAAGCCATACTTATTCCATATCTATCACCGTCTTAAGTTCTATAGTAGAGTAAATTGTCATGCGATGTGACATGTTAAATACCTTAATCCCAACCCCTTTTTCTCCTTCTTCCACACCAAAGGAAAAGAAACTACAAAAATTGAAACACTCAACAATGTACCTGCCAATTTGGCTGAAGACCAGGAGAATTAGCTGCAAGTTTGCTGGAGAGTTTCCTTTTCAAACCCTCGATTTCTGCAAAATGAGAAAAGAAATGCTAGTATCCCCTGTCAAAGCTTAGCAAAAAATTCATGACGCCAGAAATGCAAGCAAGAACAAGTGGAGCATAAACAAAAACAAAAACATACCGTTCTCTCCTGGTTTCAGGCGTCCACCTGGAAGTTTGCAGAATGTGTTCCCAATTTGCAGAAGAAGAATATGAGGATGATTATGTTCTTGTACCTGTGAATTCCAACGACACGTACAGCACATCATCCTAATTCTGCTTGACAGAATAAAACTCCAAATCACAAAGCAAACTTCTAACTAATCAGCTAGAGTTATGTGCCAAAATTTAACCAGTTAATATATATTGTGTAAACTTGTCTCTTGAATTAAGATTTAGACTGCATCGATGTCCAAAGATTCTTTATGGAGTATTAAAAAAATGATTGTATCAATACTATGAATTGTCTTGTGAAACAAGTGAAAGAAGAAACAACCCTAATGATCTTAACTGGGCGAGTATATATGTCTTCTACTTTCACAACTATAGATAGCCCAAAATAAAGTTGAAACTTGGGTTGCATGAAGCCTATTGTTTTGTCCTCCCATTCAGAAAGCTTGAGACCCAACAATCATATTTCTATAAGCAAAAATTACTGTGGAACAGATCATTTGAAAGTTTTAGACGTTCTAGGTGCATGTCTAAATCAACCAAAAATTAAAAGTCTAGTACCCAACTTTTTATACTTTTAAACCCGGGAATGGGAACACTACGTAGCATTCTTTTTTTCCAAATAAGGAACACTATGTAGTATTTTATGAACCTTTTCTCTTAATAACACTTTTTCATTTATTCAAATGGCCACAACTGATCTAGATTCCAAAAGCAAGCTATCCAACAACTATACCTTAGTTCCCAACAAGTTGGGATCGACTATATCAATCCTCACTAACCATGTTTTTGCATTTAAATTCATCTCAGACAACATTATACAAGATAAAAATAAAAGTAAAAAGTTCTAGAAGTTCCCTATATTTTCCACTTGCATAAAAATCTCGGATCATGCTCTCCTAAAAAACATAAAACCTAAAGCAAATGTATTACCGTGACTAAAACATATTCTCAACTAATTGGTATCGTCTATAGAGATCTTTTTCTTCCCTTGTATCATATTTTTCGCTAAGTCTGCATGGACTGCGAGAGATTAAAGGTCTTTCAGGACAACTTCCTTCCATGAGGTATATCTCATACCCATTTTAACACCTTCGCTCGCCGTGGTTTCGGCTAAATAGGACCAGAAAATGGAGGCCCACCGAATGCATGAAGTACCCTCTGTTGATGGCTATTTTCACTAAGATAGCTAACGAAACAAAGGTCAATATCTAGTGACCATAACCCAATCCTTTGAACGAGGACGAGCTCCTAATGAGCCAAGTGATTCTACTTCCGCTAATTAGCTCACATTAAAACCAGTTACTAGAAGGATCTCTTTTTTTTCCAGTTGAAATAAACCCATTGACGAAGGTCATATTGCTTCACCATTTACTTAATCTCTCTCCTGCAAAAAAACACTTCCATATACTCTCTGCATTCCAATTTATATGGTACTATTACTATTTGGGAATTCAAGCAGCTTTTTCTTTGATTATAACTCTTTCATATGTTGTTTAAATATTTTTAAATATAAAAGTTATAACTTTTTTTTATGAAGTAAGATAATTTCATTAAATAAAATCAAGAAGATGCATAGCAAAAGTATAAAAAAACTGCAACTTATACTTCTTTAATGTATGAATTGCCTAAATTTTACTTTAAATAGATTAAGAAATCGATGTCTGAATTGAGACCAAAATTTAGAAAGTTTGGTCATTCTTTTGGCTAAGTCAATGCAAATCTTAGGCACATAATGGAAGGATCATCGTTTACAAGCAAGGATATTTGCTTGGATATACATCTCAAAAGCATTATGCAAACAAATGCATACAAAAGCTATGCAAGAGAGTTAAAATGTTGACCGCTCCCTTTTTCTATAAGTGATAACAACTGGACAAGCATATGCGATGTCAAAGAAACAACTATTAGGCTAACCAAGGACTAAAAATCTCAATATCAACAGACTGAGCTAACATTTGAATCAAGCACAAGACGGTGCTCACTTTGTGCAGTTTAGCGACAGCTAAGGAGTTCCTAATAACTAGATGTGACAAAACAAACATAATTAAGAATCTAGGGCAAAAGCATACCAACAGAATTCCTTCGACACTAGTCCTCATGCCCTCCTTAAAATAGCTGCAAATCACATTGTAAACAACAGGTTCTTAAATTCCAAAAAAAAACAATGTAGCGTCAAGGTTTTACCTAGGGTTTAAGAAATTTTGATCTAGTTATCTGGAAGAATCTAGGCTAGCAGAATTTCAAATACAAAAATTAAATAAAAATAGAAGAAACTATTACTTGACTTTCATACGAGCAAGGCGATCGGCGACGGAGGTATCCTTCTCCATTTTGGGCTCCTTAGTACCAAATGTATAACTGGACAGTGGGTATGTGTTCACAACCGATGAAGTTACCATTTTCTCTCTCTTTCTGTGTTTCGCTACGCAAATGACGATGTCTTTTACGCGGCTTTCGGCTCTTAGATGTCGCCGACGGGAGAAAGGGGGTGGCTGTTCACCGGGGGAATATTTGTATTTTCAGATTTTCCCCCTGTAGATGCTTCTGGACTAAACACGGGCCTGCTTAGATCGGATCCGTCTAACGGGCCTTCACTGGGTCCATTTCAACTTCGGTTTCGTTCTTTATTTTTCTTTGGGAAAAATTACGCGACAAATCAAATATTTAAATTAGTAAATTTATCATTCGTAGCTATATTTGAATTTTATAGCAAATTTTGTTGAGATACAAGAAAATGATATCACTTAACAAATTGGGCTAATTTCTTTCTTTTGCTATTGGGCCCAGAAGCCCACATTGTATTTATTTTAGTCTGTAGAGTAATTGGTGGACGGACCCACTTATAGATAGGAGGAACAAAATATCTGGTAGGGCAACAGTTTCATTTTTGAACTTTTGAGCAAAATAGAAAAGACCTAGAGACTTCTGTCTCTCTCTCTCTCTCTCTCTCTCTCTCTCTCTCTCTGAAAAGTCACTATGAACTCAAATAAACTTCAGTGATTTTGCTCGTCAATCAAGTTTTAACATGATATCAGAGCCCAGATCTGGATAGATTGGGTAATTACCTCTCGTCCGATGTTACCCTCACACGTTTTCATCGGAGTTTTGAGGTTCCGCTGCTTCTTCGAGATTCTGATTTTTTTTCCGACGAGTTTTTTCATCACTGTTTTGAGTTTTTCCGGTGTTGACGACGGCTGTTGATTGATTGAACTTATTTTGATATTATCTAAGGTGTACTTCTCAACCTAGGGTTTGGTGATTTCTAAAACTGCTCATTCAGCTAGGGTTTGCTCGTCCTTGCCACTGATTTGTTTTACAAGGCCGTTGTTCCTTCCGGTCGCGAAGGAAATTTGGTATCCCTAGTTATTTCTCCTCATTATTTGTTTGTATGCGTATCTTTTCCTGATTAATTGTGTGCAAAATGCTGAATGATGATTCCACATCTGCGTTACCAACTGCTCGTTTTACTACTTCTCGTTCTGTTTTTCATGAGGATGATTATACGCATCCATGTCATCCTTTTTATGTGCACCCGTCTGATATTTTAGGGTCTTCCTTTGTTTCTGTTCCTCTTTATGGTACTGGGTATGGGAGTTGGAGACGAACCATCCTTGTGGCCTTGTCTATTAGAAATAAACTGGATTTCATTAATGGATCTTCAGTTAAGCCTCCTGACAGTTCTCCTTTGGCGAGACAGTGGTAGAGGTGTAATGATTTGGTCGTCTCTTGGTTAACCAACTCCCTGTCCAAAGACATTGCTCGTAGTGTTGAGTACTCTAAACTTGCCAAAGATATTTGGAGTAAGTTGGAGGAAAGATATGGTCAAGCAGATGCTGCAAGGGTATTTGAGCTTAAGAAAGAACTTGCTCACATCTCACAAGGATCACTTGATATTGCTTCATATTTCAACAAAATCAAGCAATTGTGGGATGAAATTGATGCCTTGTCAATCAGTAGAGTCAGGTCCTGTAGCAATTGTGGTTTCAAATCTGATTATCAGAAAGATGATGATGTTCAAAAGGTGTAACAATTTTTGATGGGTCTCAATGATATATATGTGCAAACTAGAAGCAATATATTCATGATTAAGCCTTTTCCATCTGTAAGCATTGTCTACAATATATTGTTGTCAGATGAGAAGCAGAGGCAGGTTTCTACCTCTCCTCAGTTTCTCTCTACATCTGCCTCTTTCAATGCTGGGGTGTCTAAGCAAGGTTTTCCTTCCAAAGTCAATTTTGATACTCAAAGAGCCCTAACATGCAAATATTGTAAGAAACCATGTCACACCATTGACAAGTGCTACAAGCTACATGGGTATCCTTCAAATTTTAAGTTCACAAAAGGGCTTGGCAGTAGGAAAACTTCAGCTAATGTTGAAGTAAACTCTCCTTGCCCTCCTACTAATGTGGATTCTAGTGTGGTTCCTGATTCTATCAAGTCATCTCAATCTAGTAATGCTTCAATGGTTCCTGGTTTAACACAAGATCAATTCTCCCAGCTGATGATGTTACTACAACAGTCTCATGTATCTGTTGATTCCTCATCTACTCCCACTTTGATGGATTCTGCTAACTTTGCTGGTAAGCTGTTATCAGAAAGTATTCTGCTCAAGTCATGCATGCTTTCACAAGTAGATAGTTTTGTTTGGATAATAGACTCTGGAGCTTCTGACCACATGACTTCTCATAAGGATTTACTTTTTAATCTGAAAACATTACATATACCTTGTCTAGTTTCTCTACCAAATGGTTACAAAGTCAAAGATCATTTAGTAAGATCTTTGACTTTGTTTCCAAATTTCACAATTCATCATGTTCTTTATGTTCCTTCTTTTCAATACAATCTTATTTCAGTTCATAAGCTGTTAGAATAATACAATGGGATTGTTCTGTAGATGCCTCTGGTTCTTGGTAAACTGGACCACAATCTCTACAAGCTCCTACTTTCTCCTGTTGTTTCTCCCAGTACTACATCCAGTTACTCTTCTAGTGTTACTTCCCCTGTTATTTCCCCTGTCTGTGTTTTCCCTGAGATACAAGCAAATGTGAAGAATGCCAATGTTGTTGATGTTAATGAAACACATGTAAATACTGATGCAATTCTGAATGATATCAATAAAATGGATGTGGTTTGGCATTATAGGCTTGGGCATATTCCTTTCTCTAGAATGAAATATATCTCTATGCTTGGTTCACAATTATCTTCCAAAGAGTCTTTTTCTTGCCCAATATGTCCACTAGCCAGACAAACAAGATTATCATTACATGATAGTAGTATACAATCCACAAGGCCTTTTCAGTTGATCCGCATTGACACCTGGGTCCATATCACTCTCCTACCTATACTGGCTCCAAATATTTTATGACCATTATTGATGATTTTTCAAGAGCCACTTGGACCCACCTAATGGGAGCCAAAAGCAATGTTTTTGACCTCTTAAAAGCCTTTGTTGCCATGACTGAAACTCAATTCCCATTGAAAGTTCAACATGTAAGAAGTGATAATGTCTTAGAGTTGGGATCCAACACTCTTGGATCAAAAATTTTCTCTGAGAAAAGGATATTGCATCAGACAACATGTCCTCACACTCCACAACAAAATGGACTTGTGGAAAGGAAACACAGACATCTTTTAGAAACTGCTAGAGCTTTTCTTTTCCAATCTGGTCTTCCTCTTAGATTTTGGGGAGACTGCATACTCACAGCCACCTACTTGATAAATAGGTTTTCTTCTAGTGTGTTAAAGGACAAGAGTCCCTATGAGATCTTATATAACAAACTCCCTACATACTCAAATCTTAGAGCTTTTGGCTGCTTATGTTACTCAACTGTTCCAAAACCTCATAGGGACAAACTGCAGCCTAGGGCCATTCCATGTGTGTTCATTGGTAATCCCTTTGGGAAGAAAGGCTATAAGTTGTATGGTTTACAAAATAAAGTTTGTCTTATCTCCAGAGATGCTATATTTCATGAACATGTCTTTTATTTTGTTAAATATGGATCTTCTTCCCCTACCATGTCAAATTTGCCATTTTCTGCCTGCTTTGATCACACTGTTAAGCAGCATTTTTCACTCTCCCATGATTTATTTTACCCTATCCCATCAGCAACATCCCCTGATTCTCTTCATCCCTCTAATCATGCTCCTTCTGATTCTGTAATACCTCTGAACAACAGCTTTAATCTCCCTGTTTCTTCTAGTCCCAACTCTCATACTTCCTCTAATCTCCTTTTTTCTCTCTCTGAATCTGATTTTCCTCCGTTAAGGAGATCATCTAGGACTCACAATCCCCCTTCTTATCTGCAGAATTATGTCTGCACTCTCCCTAATCCTAGCTCCAGGTCTGCTAATTCAACTGTTGTGTCTACTTCTGGTAAGCATCATGAATTTGAGCCTACTACTTATTCTCAGGCAGCAGTTATCCCTGAGTGGAAGAATGCTATGAAAAAAGAGTTTGAGGCATTGAAGACTAATGGTACTTGGGACATAGTTGAGTTACTCAAAGGCAAGAAACCAATTGGCTGCAAATAGGTATACAAAATTAAGTACAAAGCTGATGGGAGTATAGAAAGATATAAAGCTAGGCTTGTGGTTAGGGGTGATACACAAGTTGAAGGCATAGATTTCCATGAAACCTTTTCACCTGTAGTTAAAATGCCTACTGTTAAAACTTTAATTGTTGTAGCTGTTAAAAGAAATTGGCCACTTTTCCAACTAGATGTTAATAATGCTTTCTTGCATGGGGACTTAGATGAAGAAGTTTTTTTGAAGCTCCCACTTGGTCTTTCAGTATCTACTACATCTTCTGCTTCTACTTCCCCTTCTTTGGTCTGTAAACTGAATAAATCTTTGTATGGTTTGAGACAAGATTCAAGGTAATGGTATGCCAAGTTGTCTCAATCTTTGTCCTCTAGAGGTTATGTGCATTCTTTCAATGATTATTCACTTTTTACTAAGGGTTCTGGTGATGTCTTAGTACTCTTAGTGTCATATATTAATGATATCATCATCGCTGGGACAGATCTGTGTGAGATTGATGCTGTGAAAAGCTTCCTCCATGATCAATTTAAGATTAAGGATTTAGGCCATCTTAACTATTTTCTAGGTATTGAAGTGTTGTATTCTGAGGGTGGGGTGTTGCTGCATCAGAAAATATTTGTGCATGATCTCCTCAAAGAGTTCCACTCCTATGATTGTTCTTCAGTTATATCTCCTCTTGAGATGCATGGCAAGCTGCAGGCTGATCATGGTGATCCTCTGCTGAATTCTGAGACTTATAGGTATTTAGTAGGTAAACTAAATTTCTTAACCCATACAAGACCTGATATTTGCTTTGCAGTGCAACATTTAAGTCAGTTTATGCAGAAGCCTTGCCTTCCTCACATGCAAGCTGCTTTACGTTTGCTCAGGTATCTCAAGGGTACTCTTGATTTTGGGGTTTTCTATAATAATTCTCCTAATCTTTCTCTCAGTGTATATTGTGATAGCGCTTGGGGTTCTTGCCCGGACAGTAGAAAGTCCATTAATGGGTTTTACATTCTATTAGGGGGATGTCTTGTCGGCTGGAAGTCCAAGAAATAATCTGTAGTCTCTTTGTCATCTGCAGAGGCCGAATACAGGTCTATGAGTAAGGCCATTGCTGAAATCACTTGGGTTTGCAGGTTTCTTTCAGATTTTGGTGTTGTCTTTTCTTCTCCTGTTACTCTGTTTTGTGATAACCAGGCATCCATCCACATTGATAAGAACCCTGTCTTCCATGAGCGCACCAAGCATATTGAGTTGGATTGCTATTTTGTTCGCACAAAGTTGAATGAAGGTCTGCTTTAGCTGCTTCACACTTCCAGTGCCAATCAGTTTGCTGATATGTTAACTAAACCGNAGATACAAGCAAATGATATCACTTAACAAATTGGGCTAATTTCTTTCTTTTGCTATTGGGCCCAGAAGCCCACATTGTATTTATTTTAGTATGTAGAGTAATTGGTGGACAAACTCACTTATAGATAGGAGAAACAAAATATCTTGTAGGGCAATAGTTTCATTTTCGGACTTTTGAGCAAAATAGAAAAGACCTAGAGACTTCCGTTTCTCTCTCTCTGAAAAGTCACTATGAACTCAAATAAACTTCAGTGATTTTGCTCGTCAATCAAGTTTTAACAAATTAACGAAATATTCTCTCATAGCTCAGTTGATTAGAGCGCACGCTTAGTTAGCAGAGGTCTTGAGTTCGATTCTCAACAAGAACATTTTATTTTTCTGTATTTATGTATTTCATCTTAGTTGTATTCGTTGCATAAATAAATACAGTCGACACAAGTTGTATATGTATACACCCTTATATTTTGCCTTAGTTAGAGTTGCTACATATTGTATTCGTTGCACGAATGAATACAATTGCACGAACGAATACAATTGGTACACGTTGTATTCGTTGCATGAACGAATATATTTGACACGGGCTATATTCGTTGCGCGCTTGAATACAAGTGATATAAGTTGGTAATATTTAAATAGTAGTTACGAATGATAGTTAAGCAAACTATAGTTACTAGGCTCTAAACTATAGTGGTTTATGAAAATTCTTTTTTTTTTTTTTCTTTAAACTCATTACAGATTTTTATAAACTACGGACTACTTACAATATTAATTTTAAACTTTTGGTTATATTAATGTTTCAAATTAATTTTTGTGCAGAGCAAGATGTAATGAGTATGGATGGACTAAAAGATAAATGTAGTAATCCGTGAACAACACTACAGCTTGTTTAGATATTTGTTAATTATAGTTTCATAATGTATTGTATTATGTTGTACTATATTATATTATAATGCTTGATGAATATAACGTTTAAATAGATTATATCGTTTGTCATTGCTTCATGATGTCACGCACCAACAATATGAAGAATAAACTTGCAATATAACTAAGAAAAAATAGGATATATAGTAGAATTATTATATAAAAGAGTAGGGTAAAGGATAAAATATGATTATTTAGTAATAAGGAAGGGCAAGTTAAGAGAAAAAAGTAAAGTAACGAAGCCACCACACCAAATTTGTCGTTCCATAAAGTGGCACTTTTCGTTGTTACGTAACGACGGGTTGAACGATAAGCTACAATAAAATTTCAGTAACAATCAAACCAAATATTGTATTTAAAGTAACAATACGATACAATACAATAGGTAACAATCATCCAAATAAATAGCATATTAAAAAAAAAAATCATAAGTTGTATTACTTAAATTTGCTAGTATGCTAACAAATTTTCTTCGTGTATGTGTTGTCTATTTGTTAAAAAGTCTATTTCATCTTTCACCAAAAGTGTATAATGTTCGCCTTGTTTGGCTTCCGGCAAGTATTTGCAATAAATCAACATATATGCCCTCTTATTTGATATGCATGATAGTAAGTATTTGTTTTACACTTCTAAATATTCATATTCCATTTCTTTTGCTAACTTTAGCCCTTGTTTCGCAATTCTGTATTGAAACTTTAGATAAGTCTCATTTTATTGATATCTCGATACGCATATATTCTTGATCATATCAAAAATATTTACCGAAAATAGCATCTCTAGTTTGAGACTTCATATTGCCATCGGTATCTGTATACGGGTGAAACCGAGCCCTTTAGATGCTTCAGTTCCCAATGAAGTAAACGGAGCAGAGATATGATTGTAAGGAACCGGAGTTGGGGCAAGGAAGCCCTCGAGTCGGGGTCCGGGCAATACACCTGCCCTCGGAAAAATCGGGGCCACGTCCCCCAGGTCCGATTCGAACCCCAAAACTTCGGAGACATTACCAGGTAATCGAGCACGACAAAACAAAAGGGCGTGATATCCGTGCGACACGTATCGGCAGAAAATCAGTGATTAGTAAAACGAAAGATTTTTACCCCTTTTGGAATTGTACTTAGGCCATCTCCAATCATTGCCTCCATTTTCTCCTCCAAAATGGAGTAAAGTTACTCCAACTATTACTCTATTTTTTACTCCAAAAAAGAATATTCCATTTTATATTCTTCTCTCTCTTCAATATTATACTATAATTTTTATTTAAATTTTATTTTCTTATTTCTATTAAAGAAATTCTATCTTTTTTTATATATATATATATTCATCACATATAATTTAATATAAAATTATTTTATACCATAAAATTTTAAATAATATAATTTGTAAGCAAATATTATAGATTATATATATATTAACGGATAATTCAAATGAAAGTGAAATCATTGAGATACAAGATAATTAAATACATATTACATTATGGTAAAATTCATATTAAATATTACATAAATATTCAACTTTCATCTCTAGTATGCTCCCATAAATGATCTGTTAATGCATTACGAAGTGCAAATTGAGTATATTTGTCCTTAATTATTTTGTGTCGAGCTAAAAATTGCTCAAATCGGTGATTTTTATCTACTATCATTTCTACCATTGGAGGTAGACATTCCCAATCATCTTGAATTGGTGCATTAAGATCACGTTCATTCTCTATTATCATGTTGTGCAGTATAATACATGAAGTTATTATATCATGTAACACTTATTTTCTCCAAAAACGTGATGGTCCTACAACAATTGCGACATACCTCCTTACTAAGTTATTATGCTATTTACCATAGTTTCAATTTTAATATATTTTAATTTAATGTATTTTCAATTTTCATGTATTTTTAATTTTAATGTATTTTCATTTAATTTATTTTTAATTTTTACTTTTCAATTTTAGCAATATCTAATATTTTATATTTGCACCATTCATTTTTTGAGATGATTATATATTTTTTGTACAATTATAACTTATAATAAAATTAACTTACAATTTTACATAAAAATAATAAATGCATAAAAATTAATTTATCAAAATTATACACCAAAGTTAAGATGTAAATTTAATATTATAAAGATATTACATAAACATAATTAGGTATATACAAAGAGATAAATTAAAAGAGTTAAATAATAATAATAATAATAATAATAATAATAATAATAATAATAATAATAATAATAATAATAATAATAATAATAATAATAATAATAATAAAACAAGGATGAATAGTAATGGAGGAGATGAATAGTGTCACTCCATATTTGAGGTAACACTATTCATCCCTCATTTTGGGGCAAAAATGGGGGAGCATTGGAGCCCTATTATGGCAAAAAATGCCCCCATTATGGAGAAATGGGGGAAGGTTAGAGATGCCCTTAGGGTAAAACTCTCTCATTATATAAAGGGGAGTTTAACTATTTATTGGACATTATCGTAATACGCATATCAAGACACTATACTCTTATTTTCTCTGTTATTCAAAGTTTTACTTTTGTTCATCAGTTCTTCATTATCGTGAGCCCGGGATCGAAGGCATGCATTTCATTAAAATTATTACTGAGTCCGGGATCACTCCCCTTAATTTGTTTGACAATTTATTACGTCCTTTATTTGTTTAATCTAACGCAAATTTATCATTTGTATTGAATTAATCCGTGTATCCTTAAAACCACATATAAATTTAATTATTATCCGTATTTTAGGGTAAACAGTTTGGTGCCCATCATGGGACTACGAATAATAGTGGCAATTTGATACAAATTTCCATAACACACTCTATTTTACACTTGTTCTTTGAGCTCCTAATTTCAGGTTAAATTAAAAAAGTCAAATTCCCAATCTGCCTATTTGAATATTGATGTTGAATCTGGCCACCATGGCGAGAACAACAATGTGGTGCCCAGCAACGAGCTGCCCCCTATTGACCCCAACGGAGTTCCAGCCGCGGACCCGATCGATGCTAACTCACATGTGGCTATCGAAGCAAACTTGCCAACCGACCCCGAAAATAACATTCGCGAGGGAGCCCAATCGATAGCTCGAAGTACACACGACAACGAAGGCGATGGGATCAACTTGCGGGTGATCTTCGAAATATTACAGGCTCAACAGGTAGTGATAGCCCAGTTGCAGAACCAGAGTCGTGCCCCAAATAGAGTTGAGCTCGAACCGTCCCGAGAAAACACTTGCAGAACTAAACTAGTCACAGAAAGGTCGAGTGAGGATGAACCCGGGACCAACCCCGAGATAATAAAGATGCTCGAGGAACTGATGAAATGAGTGGAATCGGGAGAAAATAAAATCGAATCCAACAACAAAAAAGTGGAGACCTATAACTCCATGGTCGATCAAATCCCAAGAGCACCACCAATACTAAAAAGCCTGAATTCCAAGAAGTTTGTCCAAAAGCATTTCCCTTTGAGCGCATTTCCGAAGCCGATCCCGAAGAAGTTCTGTATATCCGAAATTCCGAAGTATAATGGAACGACTGATCCAAGCGAACATGTGACCTCCTACATGTGCACCATCAAGGGAAATGACTTGGAAGATGATGAAATCGAATCCGTTCTGCTGAAGAAGTTCGGAGAGACCTTGTCAAAAGGAGCTATGATATGGTATCACAACTTACCCCCTAATTCTATTGACTCATTTTCTATGCTTGCAGATGCCTTTGTAAAAGCGCACGCCGGGGACATCAAGGTTGAGACCAAGAAGTCATACATTTTCAAGGTGAAGCAAAGAGATAACGAAATGCTTAGGGAATTCATGTCGAGGTTTCAAATGGAACTGATGGATCTACTCCCGGTCGCGGACGACTGGGCCGTTCAAGAATTCACCCAAGCCTCTGAAGCAATCCACCCGGTCTCTGATGTATATACTTCACCTGCTGATAGTTTAGGCACCGAGCTACAAATCCCACTATATCCTTTTTCATCCTCCTCCACTATTATTGCTGCCTCAAGTCCTGGTATATCTTCGC